TCAGCAGTGTTGGGGAACCCTCATGCATGATGGCACTAATAGCAGGAGAGGCCATCATGACATGAGGTGTCCTGATGGTGGGTCGTTGGGCTATTGTTCATTGTAATTGATGTTGGATCTACATCACTGGATGATGAGATTAACATCAGATTTAACTCAGGGAATATTAATTTTATTTCAGTGCAGGGATTTTCATGGTATGGTTGTTTTTATTTAGTATTTAACCTTTTTTGTGAAAATGAAACATCTTTACTCATTCACTTAAAGGGAGGGCTGGATATCTGGTGGCCATCTTTTTCCAAAGGCTTTTTGATAAGTTGCCCTAAACAGACCTACATCCACCAGGCCAGGTATATGGGGATGATACCCTTATCCCTGTCACGTAGGACATGGTGCCTTGTGGGGAAAGGGAGATTTGTGCCTTCCCACAAGGTACCCTCCCAATGTTGAGGACACATGGCCTGATATGGTTCCGAAGAGGAGGCATGAACAAGTCCCCTTTTCTGGCCATCCAGGTTGCATGCCTGATTTTTTTTTTGCTTTGCATTTTTCTCCAAATCTATACCACACCCTTATCCCTATTCCAATTTATTATAGTATATACTGTATACCACAGTATAACTAAGGTATCTCATGTCTTCAGCAACTGCTGGCAACTGTGGCCCATCTTTTTTTATAAACATGTTTTGAGAATATCAACAAATGCTAAATCTTTAACTAAGATTCAGATTTATAAAAATAAGTAAAATATATCTCCATTCAGCGCAAATCATTTTTTAATTATTTAAATGTAACACAATCCTTTTAAAAGCTTAATAAAGATTTTAAACAGTTGCTAGTATACCTTTATTTGACAAAAAAATCTTTTGTGTTCTGCCTCAGACTAGATATAAAATGCTTGCCCATAAAAAATATCTTGATAAAAATGAAGTGAGTTTTCAGCCTAGCTGCAAGAAGTTTCAATCTCTTGCTCAACTGTTTGGAAGTTATAATTCTGTGATAAGAAAAACGTCAAGAGGGAAATATGGAGTAAAGATGTAAATCTCCAGCCTGGATGGTATTTTGTTATCTAAGAAATACTGATCCCAAGTGACATCAAACTGACTTTGCTGTTAAAATAAAATCCTATCTATGTTTTACGTTACATAGTTTGACTCTATTTGTTCAGAGATATCATTATACAGAAGGAAGGTATCACATAATGCTTAATTCATCACACAGCTAAATTTGGGACTATTATTTAAATCAGAAGGCTTTCTCCTATAATGAAATGGTAAATTACTACATATTTCTGGAAAGCATGAAGCATGAATTTGTGATGGCATATTCTACAGTCGTTTGTTTTTTATATGTCATTATAAAGCAGTATCAAAGTCTTCCTTTAGGTCTTAGGTTGCAGTCAAATTGTATATCTCTCCATACATTCTAAAAATTTAGCTATATAAAAATATTTTCAGTAAGAAAATTGGAGTATTAATTTTAAATGTAAAACCTTTTCTACCAGTTTACAAAGTGACCTTTATTTAAATGACAATGTATAAGTAAATAGAATTTTCCAAACTGTGCAAAGCTGGAAAAGATTTAAATCTAAACATGGCTACTTAAATATTTGTTTATCTTTCATGATTTATGATAATGTACTGCCACTGATTTTCAGTACACCATAGAAAAAGACACTTATTATTATCTAGAATGCTATGTTCAGCAGTGAAAAAAAATAAGGATTTAATCAATACATGAGCATTTAAATCAGCAATTGTAGATACAAATCAATGAAACACTTTTTCATGAACAAATGTAACCTCAAGAGCATAAATGATGAATTTAGCTACTGTACCACAAGAAACATCTTATATTTAACAAAGTTACTTTAATTAGAATATTATGATGAGCAACATTAAACCAAAACTAAAATAAAAGTTATATGAGTGTCAACAACATACTTCAAATGAACCAGTCTATGAACATACAAATGCTTACATATTCTTAACTATCAGTAAATGAGCTTAAAGTAATACCTCACTGACAAACCTTGGATAAGTTCAATTAAAAAATTTAAAACATAGGAACTGTAATTACAACTTATCTCCTCCTATAAAACAAGTCATCGCTGACCTCTGTAGCTGTGGGTATTGTGAAGGCACAAATCTTTAACATTCACAATAAAGGCACTGTAATTGCAGTTCCTTTCCCCTTATTTCTTTGGCAGCATGGGCTTGGCAACCTTCTAATGTACACAAACAGTAGGTGCCATTTGCAATTTAAAACTAGCTACAACCTTACTTCAGAGTCTCTTTTGTAATGTTTAAGGATAAATTACTCCACGATCTATGGATCAATAGACAGCACTGATGGATTGATTGTTAATAATATGTAATAATTTGGATGTCCATGTTTACTTTTAAAACTCCATCAATATTCTGACAATGAAATTACATGTTGTTTGTTTATTTTTACTATGTGTGTTTAGATTGTTGCACAGTTTTGAACTTAATTTTTGAATATTAATTTTGCTTCTCTGGTGTTTTGGAAATGTTTATGTCTACAGAATTTCTGATGTCCTCTGTAAAGTCAGACATTTGTCTGATATGTGGTACAATGAATACTGCTACATCTAACTTGGCACATGCCCCTGTGACAGTCATTTTATGCTATGGCTGAACCTAGTACATGGAAGGGTTAAGATACAAATTTGGACCATTGCAGGCCTAAACACAGTAACATCTGAGTACTGGCCAAGCTGGGACATTTTAAAACACTGACTGGGTGAATTTAAAGTAACTGATTATACATACAGTAAATGTAATCTACAGAGAGATTATAGGAGGACTAAACTTTAAAAAAAAAATATGAATGATAATGAATATATAAATTAATTAGAAAGTTATTCATTGGAGTAATCACATAACTAATTGTAAGAGTTTCTTGTGTTTAATACATTGGAATGCCCCCATGGTTTTAGTATACAAAAATGAATAGAATGCTGTATTGAATCCAGCTCTAACAGTTTGCACAAGAAAAATAAATACAATCCAACCCCTGTCTGTATATACAGTGAAGGAAGGAAGTATTTGATCCCCTGCTGATTTTGAATTTCTGCACACTCACAAACAAATAATCAGTCTAAAAATCAAATGGTAGGTGTATTGTAACACTGAGAGACAGAATAGCAACAACAAATTCAAAAGAAATGCATGTCTAACAAATTATGCACTGATTTGCATGTTCATGAAGGGGATCAAATACTTATTTCCCTAATGAACTTGCAAATCAGTGCATAATTTGTTAGACATGCATTTCTTTTAAATTTTTTGTTGCTATTCTGTCTCTCAATGTTACAATACACCTACCATTTGACTTTTTAGACTGATCATTTCTTTGTGAGTGGGCAAACATTCAAAAACAGCAGGGGATCAAATACTTATTTCCTTCACTGTAAAGACCTTAAAAGCACAGTTGCATTCAATTCATCTTGTTATGTATTTTATATATTTTTTTAAAGTATTAAGGGTTCTCTAAAAAAAAAGGGTTGTCATACACACATCCATTGTTTTTAAATATTAGGTTGTGGTTTTCAATATATGAATTGCAAGAAAGCATAGCATAGCCTAAACTTTGAAGTGAAAAAAGATCTGCAAGTAAATATCCCCCCAAAAATAAACAAAAATAACAAAGCAACATGATATAACAAAACATTATAAATATAGGAAATAAGCCCAAGTGTTACGCTCCCCCGTACCGTCTCCTCATGCTGCTGCCAGGTCCAGAGTCTCTCATGGGTCCCTGTACGGCCTCCCATTGCTGCTGTCTCCATCGCCACACTCTGCCATGTGCCACTTTCAGGTCTCCTCACACTGCTGGTGGGTTCCATTTTGTCATAGGGTGCTGGCAGATTACGGGCCTCCCATTGCTGCTGCCAGGCCCGTAATCTGCCATGGGCCCCCGTACCGCCTCCTCATGCTGCTGCCAGGTCCAGAGTGTGTCATGGGTCCCTGTACGGCCTCCCATTGCTGCTGTCTCCATCGCCACACTCTGCCATGTGCCACTTTCAGGTCTCCTCACACTGCTGGTGTGTTCCATTTTGTCATAGGGTGCTGGCAGATTACGGGCCTCCCATTGCTGCTGCCAGGCCCGTAATCTGCCATGGGCCCCCGTACCGCCTCCTCATGCTGCTGCCGGGTCCAGAGTCTCTCATGGGTCCCTGTACGGCCTCCCATTGCTGCTGTCTCCATCGCCACACTCTGCCATGTGCCACTTTCAGGTCTCCTCACACTGCTGGTGGGTTCCATTTTGTCATAGGGTGCTGGCAGATTACGGGCTCCCATTGCTGCTGCCAGGCCCGTAATCTGCCATGGGCCCCCGTACCGCCTCCTCATGCTGCTGCCAGGTCCAGAGTCTCTCATGGGTCCCTGTACGGCCTCCCATTGCTGCTGTCTCCATCGCCACACTCTGCCATGTGCCACTTTCAGGTCTCCTCACACTGCTGGTGTGTTCCATTTTGTCATAGGGTGCTGGCAGATTACGGGCCTCCCATTGCTGCTGCCAGGCCCATAATCTGCCATGGGCCCCCGTACCGCCTCCTCATGCTGCTGCCAGGTCCAGAGTCTCTCATGGGTCCCTGTACGGCCCTCCCATTGCTGCTGTCTCCATCGCCACACTCTGCCATGTGCCACTTTCAGGTCTCCTCACACTGCTGGTGGGTTCCATTTTGTCATAGGGTGCTGGCAGATTACGGGCCTCCCATTGCTGCTGCCAGGCCCGTAATCTGCCATGGGCCCCCGTACCGCCTCCTCATGCTGCTGCCGGGTCCAGAGTCTCTCATGGGTCCCTGTACGGCCTCCCATTGCTGCTGTCTCCATCGCCACACTCTGCCATGTGCCACTTTCAGGTCTCCTCACACTGCTGGTGGGTTCCATTTTGTCATAGGGTGCTGGCAGATTACGGGCCTCCCATTGCTGCTGCCAGCCCCGTAATCTGCCATGGGCCCCCGTAACGCCTCCTCATGCTGCTGCCAGGTCCAGAGTGTGTCATGGGTCCCTGTACGGCCTCCCATTGCTGCTGTCTCCATCGCCACACTCTGCCATGTGCCACTTTCAGGTCTCCTCACACTGCTGGTGGGTTCCATTTTGTCATAGGGTGCTGGCAGATTACGGGCCTCCCATTGCTGCTGCCAGGCCCGTAATCTGCCATGGGCCCCCGTACCGCCTCCTCATGCTGCTGCCAGGTCAGAGTCTCTCATGGGTCCCTGTACGGCCTCCCATTGCTGCTGTCTCCATCGCAACACTCTGCCATGTGCCACTTTCAGGTCTCTTCACACTGCTGGTGGGTTCCATTTTGTCATAGGGTGCTGGCAGATTACGGGCCTCCCATTGCTGCTGCCAGGCCCGTAATCTGCCATGGGCCCCCGTACCGACTCCATATGCTGTGACGTTGCAACAAGGTGGAATTCAACCCTACATATGTTAGACCGCCTTTACGAACAGCGAAAGGCCATCACCGATTTCCTGATGTTACAAGCGGATAAAGGTACTCCCCCCTGTGTAACTTAGATGTCAGCCATTGGCAGCTCATGCGTGACACCTGCCGCTTGCTCAGACCCTTTGAGGAGGCCACGCTATTCGTGAGTCGGCAGGACTATGGGATGAACGACGTCATTCCTCTGTTGCACGTCCTGGAACAAATGCGGTTAACAATGGCTGGTCAGGGTGCGGTAGACGTGGTGCACAGATCTCAACGCCACATGACCCCTGTGGGAGCAGGACAGGAAGAAGAGGAGGAGGTAGAGGAGGACATTAGTGCTCAGGAATTATTGAGTGAAATGGGTGGTTTTTCCATTCAGCGGACAGGAGTGGAGGAGCAGGAGCATCTGGTAGAGGAGGAGGAGGAGACAGAGGACCCAGACGCCCGTGGCAGTATGCTGTGGAGATGGAGGCAGGGAGTCCCTCGCATTCCTTGGCACAAATGGCCCATAGCATGCTCGGTTGCTTGCGTAGCGACAGCCGAATAATAACCATGAGACAGAGGGATGACTTTTGGCTGTCCACCTTGTTGGACCCTCGCTACCTTTCAAAAAATGGTGGCCTTTTTCACACCTGCTGAGAGGGAGGCCAAAATAACGTCTATAAAAACCACCTATGTAGTCAGTTGGTCTCTGCCTTTCTGCGCCAACGTCCATCCTCAGACACTGTGGGCCCTGTGCGCTCGCGTTCCGCTGCCATGGCAGCAGGGGAGGGGTGGGGTGGTAGGAGCAGTGGCAGCTCCACCAGCAGCAGCTGCCTCAGTCAGCAGTCGATGATGAGTAGCTTTCTTCACCAGCGCAGTGAGGAAACTACTAACCAGCCGCAGCAGCAGCAGCATCAGGTGGACCTGGAGCAGGACCTCAAACAACAGGCTCGGGCCTACTTGGACAGCACCCTGCCAACCGAGGTAGACAATCCCCTTGACTACTGGGCAACGAAACTTGACCTTTGGCCCCAACTAGCTGAATTTGCCCTTGAAAGGCTGTCATGCCCTGCCAGTAGCGTGGCATCGGAGCGCGTGTTTAGTGCGACAGGAGGTATTGCAACTCCGCGGAGGGACACGACTGTCCACCCAAAGTGTGGAGAGACTGACGTTTGTGAAAATGAATCAGGCGTGGATTAGTCTGGATTTCAAACCACCAGTATCTGACACAACTGACTAAATCCGCCATGAATCATGCCCCAAACATGTTATTATTTTTAACATAGGCCTCTGTATGGCCTTCAATTTAAGCTGCTTACGCTTCACCACTCTGCCATGGGCCCCTGTACCGCCTCCTCTTACTGCTGCCAGGTCCAGAGTGTGTCATGGGTCCCTGTACGGCCTCCCATTGCTGCTGACTTCATCGCCAGACTCTGCCATGTGCCACTTTCAGGTCTCCTTACACTGTTGGTGGGTTCCATTTTGTCATAGGGTGCTGGCAGATTACGGGCCTCCCATTGCTGCTGCCAGGCCCGTAATCTGCCATGGGCCCCGTACCGCCTCCTCATGCTGCTGCCAGGTCCAGAGTCTCTCATGGGTCCCTGTACGGCCTCCCATTGCTGCTGTCTCCATCGCAACACTCTGCCCATGTGCCACTTTCAGGTCTCTTCACACTGCTGGTGGGTTCCATTTTGTCATAGGGTGCTGGCAGATTACGGGCCTCCCATTGCTGCTGCCAGGCCGTAATCTGCCATAGGCCCCCGTACCGACTCCATATGCTGTGACGTTGCAACAAGGTGGAATTCAACCCTACATATGTTAGACCGCCTTTACGAACAGCGAAAGGCCATCACCGATTTCCTGATGTTACAAGCGGATAAAGGTACTCCCCTGTGTAACTTAGATGTCAGCCATTGGCAGCTCATGCGTGACACCTGCCGCTTGCTCAGACCCTTTGAGGAGGCCACGCTATTCGTGAGTCGGCAGGACTATGGGATGAACGACGTCATTCCTCTGTTGCACGTCCTGGAACAAATGCTGTTAACAATGGCTGGTCAGGGTGCGGTAGACGTGGCGCACAGATCTCAACGCCACATGACCCCTGTGGGGGCAGGACAGGAAGAAGAGGAGGAGGTAGAGGAGGACATTGGTGCTCAGGAATTATTGAGTGAAATGGGTGGTTTTTTTTTTCCACTCAGCGGACAGGAGTGGAGGAGCAGGAGCATCTGGTAGAGGAGGAGGAGGAGACAGAGGACCCAGACGCCCCGTGGCAGTATGCTGTGGAGATGGAGGCAGGGAGTCCCTCGCATTCCTTGGCACAAATGGCCCATAGCATGCTCGGTTGCTTGCGTAGCGACAGCCGAATAATAACCATGAGACAGAGGGATGACTTTTGGCTGTCCACCTTGTTGGACCCTCGCTACCGTTCAAAAATGGTGGCCTTTTTCACACCTGCTGAGAGGGAGGCCAAAATAACGTACTATAAAAACCACCTATGTAGTCAGTTGGTCTCTGCCTTTCTGCGCCAACGTCCATCCTCAGACACTGTGGGCCCTGTGCGCTCGCGTTCCGCTGCCATGGCAGCAGGGGAGGGTGGGGTGGTAGGAGCAGTGGCAGCTCCACCAGCAGCAGCTGCCTCAGTCAGCAGTCGATGATGAGTAGCTTTCTTCACCAGCGCAGTGAGGAAACTACTAACCAGCCGCAGCAGCAGCAGCATCAGGTGGACCTGGAGCAGGACCTCAAACAACAGGCTCGGGCCTACTTGGACAGCACCCTGCCAACCGAGGTAGACAATCCTTGACTACTGGGCAACGAAACTTGACCTTTGGCCCCAACTAGCTGAATTTGCCCTTGAAAGGCTGTCATGCCCTGCCAGTAGCGTGGCATCGGAGCGCGTGTTTAGTGCGACAGGAGGTATTGCAACTCCGCGGAGGACACGACTGTCCACCCAAAGTGTGGAGAGACTGACGTTTGTGAAAATGAATCAGGCGTGGATTAGTCTGGATTTCAAACCACCAGTTCCTGACACAACTGACTAAATCCGCCATGAATCATGCCCCAAACATGTTATTATTTTTAACATAGGCCTCTGTATGGCCTTCAATTTAAGCTGCTTACGCTTCGCCACTCTGCCATGGGCCCCTGTACCGCCTCCTCTTACTGCTGCCAGGTCCAGAGTGTGTCATGGGTCCCTGTACGGCCTCCCATTGCTGCTGACTTCATCGCCAGACTCTGCCATGTGCCACTTTCAGGTCTCCTTACACTGTTGGTGGGTTCCATTTTGTCATAGGGTGCTGGCAGATTACGGGCCTCCCATTGCTGCTGCCAGGCCCGTAATCTGCCATGGGCCCCTGTACCGCCTCCTCATGCTGCTGCCAGGTCCAGAGTGTGTCATGGGTCCCTGTACGGCCTCCCATTGCTGCTGTCTCCATCGCCACACTCTGCCATGTGCCACTTTCAGGTCTCCTCACACTGCTGGTGGGTTCCATTTTGTCATAGGGTGCTGGCAGATTACGGGCCTCCCATTGCTGCTGCCAGGCCCGTAATCTGCCATGGGCCCCCGTACCGCCTCCTCATGCTGCTGCCAGGTCCAGAGTGTCTCATGGGTCCCTGTACGGCCTCCCATTGCTGCTGTCTCCATCGCCACACTCTGCCATGTGCCACTTTCAGGTCTCCTCACACTGCTGGTGGGTTCCATTTTGTCATAGGGTGCTGGCAGATTACGGGCCTCCCATGCTGCTGCCAGGCCCGTAATCTGCCATGGGTCCCCGTACCGCCTCCTCATGCTGCTGCCAGGTCCAGATTCGCAGCGAATATATTCTCATCGAATCGAGTTTATTCCTCGAATTCGCCGAATCAGCCGAATCGAATTTTTGAATACTTCGCTCATCTCTATTCGTCACAATTATCACGATTTGTCACATTTTTTATTATGAATTAGTATTATTATGATAATTGATTCTATCACTGATATTTAAGTATTCATCATGGATTCTATATTCGTTATTTTCCATCACAGATCTATTAAGAGGCAATAATAATTGGTATATATGAGAGGTGTTTATGCATTTTATTTTTTCACTAATTGATTTAGTTTATATGGTTTTTATCACCTTATAGTATTAATTATTTTTAAGTTCGGTGGGTATTTATGGTATGCACAGAGGGAGTTTGTTTAGATAATTTGGGAGCGCTTCACTATTTAATGCATGGTACACAGGTCTGTCATCATCTGTGTTTGAGGTTGTGAAGGACAGCAGAAATATTCTTTTATTTTTGTGTTGTTTTGTTTGTGGCCAAACAGTCAGCTGTCTGCTTTGTCTACAATTTGGAGTTCCTGTGCCCCTCAGGGGGTGGGAAATGGGATTGATCTCAGCAGAGAGCACAGACAGCATGGTGTGGTGTGGCTTGCCCTGCAGGGGGTGGGAAATGGGATTGATCTTAGCAGGGTGCGCAGACAGCATGGTGTTGTGTGGCTGGGAAAGCCCCTATTGTGTGAACCAGGAGTTTGGGGGCTTGGTCAATTGAAAGAGCCATACTGTCTCTTTATGAATGGGAGAGTTTGAGTCAGGATCTCAGAGCCACTCCTGGCTGAGCCCTAACTAGGAGATGCATTGAACTGTGCTTTGTTTTGTGCACTACTGGGACTTGTGGTCCTATACTGCCTGTGTAGTCTTGAAGCTGCGGCCAAGACACACAGCCCCCTGAAGACCCGTGCAGAGTTGGTCCCCTGCTCGTCCGAAAGTGCTGTGTGAGGTCTGAGTTGAGGCCAGACCCCACAGACAAGACCCTGCCAGACCCTGCAAGCCTGTTTTCTGAGCAGCCCTGCACCCTGCCCGCTGCTGGGTGTCCCTGGAAGCTGCTGCTGAGTGACCCCGCATGCTGCCTGCTGTGAGTGTCCCTGCAAGCTGACCGCTGTGAGTGTCCCTTCACACTGTCTGTGAAATGTCCCTGGAAGCTGGCCGCTGGAGTGTCCCTGGAAGCTATCCGTTGCTGAATGTCCCTGGAAGCTGTCTGTTGCTGAGTGTCCTTGGAAGCTGACCACTGAGAGTGTCCCTGGAAGCTGTCCATTGCTTAGTGTCTCTGGAAACTGTCCGTTACTGAGCGTTCCCTGGAAGCCACCTGCTGTGAGTGTCCCCACAAGCCGCGTGTTGCGGAGTGCTCTCAACTGTCCCCATTGTGTGCCCAGATTACCCTTGCCCGAACTGCCCCTATTGTGTGCCCAGATTATTGCTACCTGAACTGCCCCATTGTGTGCCCAGTTATCTTTGCCTGAACTGCCCTATTGTGTGCCCGGATTATTGCTACCTGAACTGCCCCATTGTGTGCCCAGTTATCTTTGCCTGAACTGCCCTATTGTGTGCCCGGATTATTGCTACCTGAACTGCCCCATTGTGTGCTCAGTTATCCTTGCCTGAACTTCCCTATTGTGTGCCCGGATTATTGCTACCATAACTGCCCATTGTGTGCCCAGTTATCTCTGCCTAAACTGCCCCACTGTGTGCCCGGATTATTGCTACCTGAACTGCCCCATTGTGTGCCCAGTTATCTTTGCCTGAACTGCCCTATTGTGTGCCCGGATTATTGCTACCTGAACTGCCCCATTGTGTGCCCAGTTATCTTTGCCTGAACTGCCCTATTGTGTGCCCGGATTATTGCTACCTGAACTGCCCCATTGTGTGCTCAGTTATCCTTGCCTGAACTTCCCTATTGTGTGCCCGGATTATTGCTACCATAACTGCCCATTGTGTGCCCAGTTATCTCTGCCTAAACTGCCCCACTGTGTGCCCGGATTATTGCTACCTGAACTGCCCCATTGTGTGCCCAGTTATCTTTACCTGAACTGCCCCACTGTGTGCCCAGATTATTGTTGTCTGAACTGCCCTATTGTGTGCCCGGATCATCTTTGCCTGGACTCCCCCCTATTGTGTGCCCGGACGCTACCCTTATTACTCTGACCAAGTGTTTCACAGCCTTCAATAAAACCCTTGTGTGTTTATCATTCTCCGTGTGCGTTCTGACCCACCTACACCTCCGTCACAGAGGTATAGAGCCAGTGACAGATCTCACCACAACATGGCCCCACGGGCACGTACGAGGTGTGATCTGGGAAGGACTTCATATGAAGCCCACCAGGATCAACGAGAGTCCTGCTCGGCTGACATTCTGCTATTGGCCAGGCGGGAACAGGTTAAATTCCAAAGACAATTGGATACTCACAAATATAAGCGACAGTGGGAATATAGCACAAAAACACCTGTGGGCAATGTCCTCTGCCCTTGGACCATATGGTTGGAAGACTGATGCATTTCAGGGCACTGGTCACCAACCTCACGCTATGTCACTGTTTAAATGGTCATGTATCAAAGGCAGCCCACTTCCCATTCAACGAGCAAGTGGCTGGGGCTTGAATGGCAACAAATAAACACCTCTCATGTGCTGGCAAACTGCTATCTACTCTGACTGACTAGAGAATTACAAGGGCAGTGAGACTAGTAACTGTAGTCAAACTACAAAACAACATTAATAATGTCAATAAACAGCCAAAATACATCCCTGCAGAATCCACTCAATACAGTACTGTCAAGAAAGGACTCACCGCTGGTGGTGCTGGGGCTAACCTGCTCTATGGGCTGCAGTACCAGTTCTTACCAGGGAGTGTGTCAGGAAAGGACTCGCCGCTAGGGCTCACGTGCTCTATGGGCTACAGTACCAGTTCTTACCAGCAGGTGCCTTTCAGCAGCCAGGATCTCACCTATGCAAATCAAGCCATCACCTGAGGCTGATTGCAGGAGGTGTATTTAAGCAGTAACCAGGCCTGTAATCAGTGCCTTGGTGTTTGTTTCCCATGAGCCCTTGTTGTCCTGTACCTGTCATCTACCTGCTTGATTCTGCTGCTCGATTCTGACCACGATTGAACTCTGCCTGCACCGACCCAGCTCTCCTTTTTGACTATCCGTTTGCCTACCCCTCTGTACCAGATCCACCCGATTGTTCCTGACCCGGCCTGCCTGACCACTCTACCTCTCCAGCCCTGACTACGCCTGTGTTTCTGAACATATATATATTAGTTGAAGGTTTGTTTTTTGTTGCACTGTGCATTTTTGTATACTTGTGTAGCTCTTAATAAATTATATTATTACATCACTCCTGAAGCCTGCTATTCCCTGTGTCAGTCCACACATATCTGGTCATATCCAGATCCTTGACAAGTATATACCAACCCATGTAAGGAATCTCTACTGCCGGTGTATAAATGTAAATAAGTTCATAAAGGTTTGGATCATACCCTGTCAGACCTGCAAAACTCCATTGCCTTACATCAATGTAATGGCACTGTACGTTGCCCTGGAGGAAAGAAAGAATGCTCCCCTCACTTTGCAGCAAGAAAATGCTCTCCGGCTTCCACAGTCCTGACATGAATGCTGGACCGCATGCTCAATGTCATGGAATGCAGAGTTGGAAGGGCAAACCAGAAGTGCATCAAAAGGAGAAAGAGCCAAACTTGAGAAGCAGAGACAGGGCACATTATTCTTTCAGATTCTCAGTTTCAATTGATATACTGTACAACATAAATAGACGTCACTCACTGGGATCCACTTAACAGAAACAGAAAAGAGTGTAAACTATCAATACCCCATTGTGACCACCCAAGGAAAGGAGAAGGGATGCCAATAAACCCTGACCATCCAAACCTAGTAACAAAATACATTCTAAGGAATATATAAAAATTAAAAAGTCACATATAAATATTGCAATGGCTGCAAAATCAATATGTTTTGTACAAAAATGTCCTCCAGTCAGCATCACAAACAGTAAAACTTGGAAGTATGGAAACATATCAACACAAACATGAATTCATGATAGCATTCTAAAAATACATAGTTCTTGAAAAGACACCAGTCTAGGGGTTTATAGTAATTCCATATTTATAGTAGTAAAAACCTGATAAAACCTAATAAACACACACACACACATATACACAATAAGACAAAATAAATATATTACTATTAATCCCTATAAACCTCAGAGGTGCATGAAAATGTCAATTGTTCTACACACATTACATATTGGCACACATGCAGGAGTGTAAACAATAATTCTAGACCCATTATTCATGGTTAACTCTAAATGGATGCCCTGTAGGGGCTTTTAAAGCATTATCTATGGAAAACATAGGTTACCAGAGTTTCACAAGTGCACGTAAATATAGGGCCTAACATGTTGGGTATCTATATACTCGGTGGAATTTTGCCAAAGCTGGGTAGTAAATTGCATTTATGTGCCCTAAAATTAATTTCGGTGTGTTTTTTAACGACATTTTGTATATCATAAATAGTTGCACTAACATTGTGTTGCATAAAAAAAAAAATAAACTGGGGGCGTGGCCTGGAGCCCGACGAAGATGGGCACTCACTGAGGAGCTCTGGGATCCTGCTGGCTTCATTCACCTCTCTCTGGTCCCCTGAGATCTGCAGCATGGGGAAGCTTGCACAACATCGCTCCAGGTCTCCACCACCTCAGCCCCAGCGAGGCATATAATGGAGATATTCCACTCACAATCCTCAGCCAGGAATACCATGGCCTCCAGTAGGAAGGATGGTGTCGGCTCACCAGGACAAGGATTGTAGCGAGGACTCTCAAACGGCATGGGAGGATGGGGGTGAGAGACTCTACCTTCACAGAACAGCCATTAACCTACTCTGATATGACAACTATTGTGGCCGATATTAAAATTACACAGTTGTGATTACAGACTTGAGAGAGACATTTTAGTCCTTACAAAGCAAATGACTGCAATGGAAAATGTAGGGAACATGAGGGATAAAGCCATTCAAAGACTGAACCTTGTCACTGACTCTCACACTAAACACCTCATTGAGACGAACAGACACTTAGAGGATCTTG